ACCATAATTGCAGGTGAGTCACGTAAATTTATGTTTTTATAAAACAAGTAGCCCCCCCAAAGACCAATTTCCAAGGGGAAACACTGATTTCAATCAGCTCCAAGCTCACCATCTCATTTTGTCTCAAAGACACTAAAACACACAAAACTACACTAACTATAAAATATACAAATATAATAAATTGAATACATTTCTGAAATGTCATTGCTCACTCTTGACCTCACCGTCTCTACACTGCAGGTTAACTTTATTCAACTTTCTCCTCTTTTCATTCATCCTCCTGCAGATTTCTTGCTGCTTGTTTAATATTTTCAGGCGTCAGTCAGAAAGCAGTTTGGGGGTTTTCTGTTAGTTCTGTGGGGTCGGGGTGACACCAGAGCGGGGATTGAGGTGTTTTTTCCACATGAATCTGCTCGCGTTTTACATGCTTCAAATACGACAAACATTTTTTATAATAAGAGCCATAAATTATTTATTATATGGTCAAATTAATGTATAAATATCTATTAATTGCGTTAAAACGATCGGAGCAGCCATTGGTACTTCACTTCCTGCCCTCCATTGTGGTGTCACGTGAAACCAAGCTTTTCCTCATAATGTGTCTGATGAAGTGAGGGGTTCAGGTGAGCTTTATGAGCCCCAAAACAAGTTGCTTTGATCAGAACCTTAATCCTGTCCTTAAAACGACCAGTGTTGTTTTCATAAACGATGACAAAATATTTTCGTTGAAGCCCACTTTTTTCACGACGATAACGAGACGGTAAAAAAATAAACATAGTTCTTTGATGACTAAGACGAGACGAAACGTGTGTGAGTTTTCGTTGACGAGAYGAGACTGGACGAAAATGTTACTCGGTGGTCTGTCAATCATTTAGAATGCAGAGTGGAGGGAGGGACAGCTGCGCTGTGAAGGGCTCGACACACGGAAGGCGACGTCGCTCGCTCTCCATTCATTTCCTATGGAGCCTGTGCGGTGAAGCGACAATCGCTTGCCCTCCTCCAGCTAAGCGACCGGCGAAAATMGTGCATGTGAAATTTCACGCTCGTACACGTGCACACACGAGCTTACGACGCGACATATGAAAGTTGAAAAATGTTCAACTTTTGTCGCTGTCGCTTAGCGTACAACCAAT